GCTGGGGAAGGAGGCTAGGTGAGATACGTTGGATTCCAGAGATTCAAGTCAGCACTGATGTGATTGTCAGTTACCACAATTAGCTGGGGTGCTGGAGGGAAGAGGCCTTCTCTCTGCTGAGATGCAGTTTTATAAGGGAAGAGAGACATTCCCACTTCTGAGAGGCTTTAGGGGATACAGACATGCCAGTCTTCAGCACGTCTTACCTACCTAAAAATTTCCATCTTTTGCTGTCAAAACAAGTCATATCTTAAAGTCCACACACAGAGAGAAAGGTGGCTTTTCTACTTCATGTCCAGAAAGTTCTTTTTTATTTTTATTTTTGGAGACAGAGTCTCGCTCTGTTGCCAGACACCAGGCTGGGCCTGATTTTGGCTCACTGCAACCTCTGCTTCCCAGGTTCAAGTAATTCTCCTGCCTCAGCCTCCCGAGTAGCTGGGACTACAGGTGCATGCCACCACGCCCAGCTAATTTTTTTTTTTTGTATTTTTCGTAGAGACAGGGTTTCACCATGTTGGCCAGAATGGTCTCAATCTCTTGACCTTGTTATCCGCCCGCCTCCGCCTCCCAAAGTGCTGGGATTACAGGCATAAGCCACCGCGCCTGGCCCAGAAAGTTCTTAAGGAGAAAATATACAGCACTACGTTGAATAGAAGTCAGTGTAGTCGGGCACAGTGGTTCATGCCTGTAATCTCGGCACTTCGGTTGCTGAGGCGGGTGGATCACCTGACGTCAGGGGTTTGAGACCAGCCTGACCAACATGGTGAAACCCTGTCTCTACGAAAAATACAAAAATTAGCTGGGCGTGGTGCAGGTGCCTGTAATCCCAGCTACTCAGGAGGCTGAGGCAGGAGATTGAACCTAGGAGGCAGAGGTTGCAGTGAACTGAGTTTGCACTATTGCACTCCAGCCTGGGTGACAAGAGCGAAACTCCATCTCAAAAAGAAAAAAAAAGGAAAAAGAAAAAGAAAAACAAGTCAGTGTAAAGTCTGTGGAGGCTCTACTTACTTATTTATTTTTACTGTGTTCTTAAAATGTCCCCTCAGCATATGACTATGATGGGAGGCTGAACACAATGGAAGCATTCACTTCTAGAATGTTCTCTCTGTACAGAGAAAGAAGAGGATATACATGGGGAAAGGACTGAGGGCTCTTGTTCATTGTCAGGTCTGGCTCACATCCAGAGACCAAAAATGTCACTCTTCTCTCACTGAGTGAAGAAAATCATGCACTTCAGAGGCAGAAAGGGCTTAGGACCTTCCGGTCAGGGATTCTCATTATAGGCTCTGTCATTTCGTAACTTCAAAACCCCAGGCAGTTTCTTCAGCTTCTCTCAGCCTCAGTTTCCTTATCTAGAAAATGAGGGTGAGACTCCTACCACATGGGGTTGTGGGGGATTCATGGGACAATGGAGCAAAACCACTGGCACATAGTGAGTGATCCATAAGGGTAGCTTCCCGACACTTGTACTACAGAAACAAACAAAGAAAACAAAGAAGCTCCACAGTTAGAGTTTTCATTGGGAATTTTGACTTTCCTCTACAATCCAGTCTCCTACTGTGGACTTGATATGGTCAGTCGTGTTGAATACCTGTTATCTAACTATTGGCATAGTATTAAGAGGTTCAGAGATATTGACCAATGTCAGTGTTTCAGGACCCTTAACAGTGGGTGGGTTTCACGATCCCATGGTCAAGATGAGCTCATTTCTCTCAGAAGATTAAATAATTGGCCCTGAGACTGGTAATCTATCAGCAGAAACAAACCTTTAGGGCAGATCCAGCTTACTGTCCATGGTGGAGGCAAAACTCCTTCCAGTTCTGCCAGTGGCCAGAGGCCAGGAGTGAACTAGAACCAGCAAATGCAGGCCTGGAGGAGTTTAAGAAGGCTTTGGGTCTGTTCTCCAATGTTCATGCCAACCCAGAGCAAACCTGATGACTCTTTTATGACTCCTAGAGATTACCGGTCGTCTTCTATCTCAGGGGTATGTTATATTAAGTTATATCTGTAGAGGAGCGGGCCACAGGGCTGAGAACTTGTGTAGACCTTAAGGGAAAATATACTTTCTTTGTTTGGCTTGAAGGATCTTGGGGAGCATCTGGAATGTTGCTTCAGAGCTCTTGGAGTTGGTGGCAGGGTTCATAGGTCAGGCCCCAGGCCCCACCCTACATCCTACAATGAATGACACCACCCTCTTGGACATTTCTTGAACATGCCAAGCATGATCCCTGTCATGGGAATAGAAGTGCCATGAAGACAGGGATTTTTTTTCTCTTTTCTTTGTTGCTATTTCTTGCCTCTGGAAGAGTTCCTGGCATAGAGAAGAAGCAGATAGGATGGAATAAGTAAATTAACCACAGGGCAGTTGTTCTGACCGGTCCCTCTGTTTGGAACATTCTTACCCAGGAGTGTCTCCTGGCTTGATCCCTCTTTTTAGATCTAGGCTCAAAAGTCACCTCCACAGAGAGGCTATTCCTGAGGACTCCATCTAATGGTGCTCAGTGCCCTCGATCACTTTTCCCCTTCCCTTGCTTTAATAGCCTTCTCTAACTCATGTGTAATGGTGCTCATCATCACTTTCCCCACTGCTAAGTTCCATGAGGGCAGAGCACTCATCTCTTGGACATCCATTGCTGTATCTCTGGCACCTAGAACCCAATCTGGCATGAGTCAGTGCTCTGTAAGTTACACGTTGAGTAAGTGAGTGAATAAATGCACCAGCCATGGGGAAAGCAGCACGGTGCTTCCTCATAGCAGTTCAGAGGTAAGTGTTCTACCCACCTTGATCTAAACCATCCTGTCTGACACTGTGAAGCCCTGTCTCTACTAAAAATGCAAAAAATCAGCTGGGCATGGTGGCATGCACCTGTAGTCCCAGCTACTAAGGAGGCTGAGGCAGGAGAATTACTTGAACCCAGAAGGCAGAAGTTGCAGTGAGCCATGATCATGTCACTACTCTCCAGCCTGGGCAAGAGAGTGAGACTCTGTCTCAAAAACCAAAACCAAAAAAAAAACAGGTGTTAGTTTTATTGATGATGACGATGTTGATGATGACATCCAAATGTCACTCCAAGGCTGTGGCACTGTGGATTGGCCTTTGACATTCTCAGTGTACATCCCAGTAGGTTGGTGAATATAAAAGGTTTCCTTCTACCCCACCTGCCATTCCTCCCTGCCACCATCAGACATGCTAAAGAACAGTGCTTTCATCAACTTCTGCTCTTCTTTTCCCTGGTTGTGGAATTGTGACAAGGCATTGGGAACAGTTCATCCTGTCCTCAGCTCTTAAAATAAAACTTTCAGATCCTTTATACTAACATATAAATGAACAGTAGTCCCATCCCTGTTTCCCATCCCCTCCCAGCCGCCTGACCTCTCCCAGAATCTGGAACTTCCCATCTGTTCACTTTCATTCACGTTATCAAATACCTAAAGTGCCTCCACTTTGCCCCATTTTATTCCTACAGATACTGCTTCCAAAATCCAGCTGCAGTATTACCTTCCCTGCTCTGCTCAAGCCCAGATCTTGCAGCTGTTTCTGCCTCCTCTCCGGGTTTCCTTGTAGCTCTCTCCCGCTTCCTTCACAGCCCTTATCATGGGCACTGTGCTTAACTAGGCTTTTCTTCTCCAAGAATGAAGAAATGAAGCGCATTTCTTCTCCAGAAATGCACTCTACAAGGCAGGGGTCCTTCAGATAGGGGAGAGAATGGGCAGCTCTGATATGAGTCAGTAGGGGAGGTCCCTCAACCCTGCAGATTCAGCTGTCAGAACTTCTGAGTTCCAATCCTACCTCCCCTCTTACCATCTATGAGTCCCTGACAAGTGATCCAATCACAACATGTACCAGGTGTCCCACCTGAAAATGGGGATCCTAATTATTACACTTCAACAAGCACCAAACACCACAGACTGATAGATAAAAACATAAAGGATTCTGGAAAGAGAACTTGGGAAGGATCGGGAACTGGAAGTTGCTTTTTAGATTGTTTTTCCATTAATATATGGGGACTACCTTATGAGTTTATTTGGGACCAGACACAGAGAAACCAAGCAATGTTTGAATGTGTTTCTGAAAAACATCCAGAATTTTATTATCTTAGTTAATTCAGCAGAAAGTTCTTCGCACTGAAATTATCACTCTGGCTCATTCAGCTCAAAGACTTATCACATCTAAAAAAAATAAAGCAAATTCCAAAACACGAAAGCAAAAATTGCAAAATCTGTTTAAATATTTTGTTGCACTCACTTAGCACAAAAGTTCTTATCTATTGGGGACTGTAGAGAGCTTTATAGCATACAGAGGAACTTATGACATGACATCTCTTAAGGGAATCCATTCTCTTTTGACCTCATTAGCATGACGTGTCCTGAATCATTCTGAGGAAGAACATGCAGAGAGAGCTCCAACTCTCTCCACAAAAGTCCAGGGCAGTCTTCCTCTGGTTTGCCACATCTGGGTCCTCCATACACTCGGGAGCTTTGGTGATCATGGTCTGGGTCACTGCTGGGCTAGAGGGGGTGTTCTCTTTGTCTTTGATGTGCTCCCTGGAGGACATCTCTGCTTTCTCCTTCCTGGGCTTTGTGCTCCCAAGTAGAGTGGAGCTCACTAGCTTAAGATTGGATTCCGGAAAATCCTCTCTGCACACTCTGGTTTTCACAGCTGTCTTGGGATATTTACAGATGTCTTTCTGTGAGCGCAGACTCCGGGTAATTTGTTTCCAATAGACTCTCTGGTCCTTGAGCTTTAGGCACGAGGTTGGATTGCCAGCAAAGATACAGGAAAATTCATGGTCCAATCGAGTGCACTCAACCTTGAGAGAGATGCCCTCCTCCTGCTCAGTCACAGCCCATCTGCAGCTGGCTTGGTCTTTGGTGACAAACTTGCCTTTGTTCCCAGGCCTCCTTCTCTGCTTAATCTGGGTGTTGCCCAGAGTGTCCTTTTGTTCTGAGACTGCTTTGCTGTGAAGTCCATTCTTCACTTTTTCTTTTCCCTCCACCAGGAGCACCTGAGCAGCCAGTAGGAGGAAGGAGAGCAGGGTGAGGCTATGGATCCTCATGGCTGCAGCTGGGCGGGCACCTGTTTGACAAAAGGCAGGTGAGTCAGTGGCAGGCAGCAGTTCAGCTGTGCAGGACTACACACTGGCCCCCCTCCACCCTGACAGGTATCTGCCTGATTTCAGAGTAGACCAAGAATGCTTCTGGCTCCTAGAGGCACCAGACAAGCAGCCTGTCTACTCACATTTCCACTTGACTTGAATTTTGAGTGTCACAAAACTACCACTCTTAGGAGCCTCACGAATTCTCATTTCTCATTTATGCACTCATCAACTCCTGCACTTGCTCACTCCTCATTCTTTCATTCACTCATTCAACAAGCATTTATTGAGCACCAGAGTAGGTGTTGAAGATATCACCATGAACAAGAAACCTCAGGTTTGAGAGAGCTTAGAAGTCACTCTTTGAGAGAATTTAAATGGCATCAATTAGGGAATCTATCCCATCATCTCTGCCTCCACTTAATCTGAAACAAGCTATTGCTCCAAACTCTTTTCCAGCTCCAAAGGACTAGATTTCTATCTCACAACTCCATAAGGACACAAATGCCCAAAATGAGAAAGGATGTGGTAACCATCACGGAAGGTGACGTTGTGCCAGAGTTGAACATGCCTGGGGTTTGGGTGTGGTGGGTGGGGTTGTGGGGGTGGGGGAGCTTTTTGGGAGGAAGTAAGAGCCAAAGGAAAGGCATGAGGTGGGGAGGTTGTTTGATTTGCCTGGGCGAAGTGAACCAGGGTGGAGAGAGGTGAATTTCAACTGGATAGTTCACACTACAATGTTGAAGACAAGGATCATGAGAAATCATTGAATCAATAGGATAAACATCAATGTCACACTGAATTGCACAGATCTGATGATGTGTACAATAAAAACCCATGCTTAATAGCAGAAGAGAAGTCCATTTCTGTATGACACCTCTTGTGTGCTACGTACTGGTCCGGGGTTTGATTCCCACCTTGTTAAGTCCACACAACAGCTCTTCTAGGTAACTATTAGTATGTTATCCCAGGTGACAGCTCTGACTCTTAAGGCTCAGACAGGTAAATAAATTGCTCAGGATCTCACAGTGGGCAAGTCTCAAAGCTGGTATGGGTAGCCAGATTAATCTCCCTATTCCTTTCCGTCACCCTGGTTGATCCCTTTTGCTTTTCACATTTACTCTGCCCTTTAAAAACATTGGCAAAGAATAAGAAAAACAACTATGAATGATGCCAATTTAGTTTGATATAATGCATGATGATAAGATGATTTATATTATTTGCACTCCATTTAAAACAAAACACAGAATTTTTATAAAATGGTCCTGATCTAATTTCTACCCTAGAAGTTGGCCTCCTTCTAGGCTTAACGAAGAGAAATACAATCATGAAAGGGCAGAGAACAGCAATAAATAGTGAAGAGGAGGCTACATATGCCCAACTGACACCCAGCCATTTCTCACAGCCCTGGGGCTCAGCCCCCAACCTGCCCATGATGGGTTGCAGGCCCAAGGAACTCCAGGCCCTCAGTGGAGTGAGAAGTGGTGGCATGTAATAAAGCTGTTAAAAGGAGCAAGGCTCTTACCTTGTTCTGAGCACACAGATCCAGTGCGATCCCAGGAGTGAATTGCAGGCTGCAGCTGTCCCAGGTAGTGTGCAAGGGGGTGGACTATTCAACAGGAGCCAGGCTGACTGGGTTTTTATAACACTCACTTTTGACACCTTACTCACAGCTCGTCAGCCACGCCCCTCCGAGGGAGCCCATTCCTGCAGGGAAAGTGCTGGATGTAATCCAGGGAGAAGGCGGGTGACCTGCGCCATTAAATGCTTCCTCCAGGCTCTTCCCTGTTTACTCTGGGTAAAAAAAAATGTAAAAATAGTACTTTTTTACTTAGTAATACATAACTGGAGATATGCAATAGCTTGTCCAAGTTCACAGAGTCAGGAAAAGGGGGATCTCATAACTGAATGTGAGATTCTCTAGATCCATGGTCTGATCTCTTCCTGCCTGCCACTCTCAAATATTTGTTGAATGGGTGACTGAAGTTGCCGAAGTCTTCTTAGTGTCTGAGTTCCTTTTAGCATCTGAAGTTACTACATAAACAGAGGATTTCCTAATTCTAGCAGTAGGGAAATTTATGTTAAAAATTCCCTCTTTACTAGCCTCTCAGAGCCTGGTAGAATCTGGGAATTTTTACTGGGCTAAGCTATTATCATAAAGTAGAGCAGAATCATTTTGCTGGCTCCCAGGGCCTTCCCTTCATGTGACTCCCTTTCCAGCATCTGCTTTGCTCTTTCCCTGCTAGACTCAGCAGCACAGCATCAGAGCAGGCTGTGGGGCAGTTGCATCCTTGGCTCATCCTGCCATCCCAAACTCATTTCCAGGTACACACACCCAGACACATACACATAGATACTGACACACCTACAAAGACTTACACAAACACACTGACATACACTCAAAGACACACACTGAAACACACTCATAGACACACAGAAACCCACACACTGACACATAGACACATGCACACTCATACTCATCAGCATACACACACAGAATCACACACACAGACACACACAGCAACACTGACACATACACAGAGATACAAACACACACATGCGCACACACACACTGCAATCTGGCCACAGTGAAACCCTGTCCCACCATTTGCAGACATTCCATGCCCTTGCCCACTTCCTGCCTTTGCCTCTGCTGTTCCCTGCCCTTGGGATCCCATTCCCGTGCCTCTCCACCTGGCACACACCACCTCATCCTTCAAGGCCAGACTCCAATGCCAGCCCCTCTCTGTTGGTGTCACTGGCTCCTGATCCTCCCTACGCCACCCACACTGTTGTGGATGTCCACGGGGAGAAACATATACTTCCTCCAATGAGCTTACATCGTGCAAGGCTCTGTGCTGAAGCTGTTTCCCCAAGCTTTCTTCACATCTCCATGAGCTTAGGAAACAAGCTCCTTTTCCAGTGGCTCTGGAGAGACTGCAGAGGACGTGGAGCCTCGGCCATGCAGTGCATGGCACGTTCCAGTAGGTTCAGGCCCTTCCACCTCCCCATGCTCCCAGGACCAAGGGGCTCTGTAACTCCTAGGGATGAGTACACAAAGGCCCACTTCACAAGAACCCCAGGCAGAAAGTCTGTCTGCTCAGGTCCTCATGGGACAGATGTGGAGCCAAGGCTTAGAGGGCCCAAGCACAGTATCTGACACATAACTAGAGAAGAATTATCTGGAAGTCACTGCTATTATTCTAAACACAAATGAGGCAATGTACCCATACATTGATAAATTGTGGAACTCTCCTCTCTGTCCCTTCATATCTTCCCTTTTTAATTTTGTAAAAAAGTTTTAGAACACTTTTAGGTTTACAGAGAATTGCAAAGGTAGTTATCGTTCCACTTCTCACCTGGGCTCCCTATTTATGTTACATCACTATGGTACATTGGTCACAGCTAATTAACACATATTGATACATTATTATCAATTGAAGTCCATACTTTATTCAGACTTGCTTAGGATTTACCTATTGTTGTATATTTTTTGTTGTTATTGACAGACTTTATTTTTTGAGTAGTCTTAGGTTCATAGCACAATTGAGTGGAAAGTATCAAAAGTCCCATGCACCCCTCCCCACACGCAGGCAGTCTCCCCTACCTTCAACATCATGAACCAGAGTAGTACATTTGCCATCAGTAATAAACATACGTTAACATGTCATTATCACCCAATGCCCCTTGTTTCCATTAGGTTCACTGTAAGTGCTGTACATTCTCTGGGTTTTAAGAAATGTATCATGACATGTTAATCTCAATTAATTAAGAAAGGTATAATGACAATACCCACCACTATGATACCAAACAGAATAGTTTAACTGCCCTAAAAATCCTCTGTGTTTTGCCTACTTATGTCTCTGTCCCCTCAACCCCTGACAAGTGCTGATCCTTTTACTGTTGCCATAGTTTTTTCCTTTTAAGAATGTCATATAGTTGAAATCTTACAATATGTAGCCTTTTTATATTGACTTTTTAACTTAGTAATATGCACTTAAGGTTTCTCTTTGCTTTTTAGAACTTGATAGCATGTTTCTTTTAAGTGTCGATAAAATTCCAATGATTGAATATATCTAAGTCCCTTATTTCACCTGCTACTAAAATTCCATTGATTGAATGTACCCAAGTTCATTTATTCATTCATTTAGGACATTTTGGATGCTGCCAAATTTTGACAATGATGAACAGAGCTGCTATAAACATTTCCCTGCTGGTTTGTGTAGACTTAAATTTTCAACTCCTAATGTTCAATGTAGGATCCCAACATGACAGTGAGGAAAGAGACCCAAGCATCTAGGATCACCTCTCCCTTGACTTCCACACTGCATTTCAATAGAAGAAAAGGCTGGCCAACCAGCGCCTCCTAAATCACCCTCCTATAGATAGCAGGCATAGTATGGGGGAATCTTTCCGGATAGCACTGTTTTCCTTAAATAAGATCAAACCCCCACTCCACGCCTACTCCATGAAAGACCCTTTCACATGTAATTTCTAAAACTATAAACCCAAGACCCTTTCACATGTAATTTCTAAGACTGTAAACCCAAGACCCTTTCACGTGTAATATCTAGACTTGTAAGCCTATATAAAGGTAGAGCTTCTCTTTGTTAGACGAGCGTGGCTGTTAGACAACTATGTCGCCTTGTTCCAGGATGAATATATATTGCACCCCACCAGGTCAAGGAACGAATCACAATAGCAGCAAGGCCAGAACAACAAAGAGATTTGCCCATATCGCAATATGTAAGGATTTGGGGAGTCGCACACCTAGCGCCAACCATTAGAGATGGGCCTGTCCAAATTTGGAATCAAATGGGTGAGTATCTTCAGAGGGTCCCAATGCTCAGGGGCCCAGCAGTCAATATCAGCCCTGATGGACTGTTCAAGGAGGACCTCACTTGTCCACCAGAGTAAGAGAAGATTTGTTACAAGAAGGGAGATGTGCCTGGGCCTGAATGTCCAGCTCCTGAATGCTCTGGGGTGAGCCCTGTCTATGGTCTTGGCAGGCAGGTCATCAGTCTGGGTGCCCTCAAAGCACCCTAGAGACATTCACTCCCTGCTCCTCCTCTCTCCAGAAAGTTTTTACTGTGCTAATTAGTGCAAATTGCCTGTTTAACCTCACATCTGCCCGGTCAATAGGTCTAATAAGGTGTGCACTTGGGACCTCTCTCACTCCCAATGGTACTACCTGTGCAAAGCCAGATCTGCTGTCCTTCCCTCAGCACAATTTAGACTAGAAAACCGTGAAAGGACACAGCAGAGATAGCACAAGGCAACCAGTAGCAGCCGGAGCACAGGCACCCCACCAGCTGGCAGTGCCCTCCCAGGTAGAGCTTGCTGGTTGGCACAGTCAGTTAATAAGCCAAGAGCAGCGGGAGGCACAGTCCTTATGGAACACTGAGTCACCTTGCTGGCTGCTCAACTGTCCCAAAATGTACCTGTGGGATTTTAACTCATGAAGGTGACTGAATGATGACACAGAAAGGCTGGTGCCATTGAAAAAAGAATGTGTTACAGTTACCTCCTCCCCTCACCTCCGTATCTGCAGGTTTCGCATTTGTGAATTCGATGAAACTGCAGATCAAAAATATTTTAGAAAATAAAAATAAAAAATACAAAAATGAAAAATAATACAAATCAAATAAATAATACACTATAACAATGACTTACATAGCACTTATTTTGTATTAGGTACTGTAAGTAATCTAGGATGACTTAAAGTGTACAGGAAGACGTGCATAGGTTATATGCAAATACTATGCCATTTTATAGGGGGGACTTAACATCTGCAAATGTTAATACCCATGAGGGTCCTGGAAGTAATCCTCCTTAAATACCTAGGCATGACTGTACTTACCTTTCCAAAGAGAAGGGATGTGCCACAGCACACAGGGCTTCAGCAGGGGAAACATGAGGTTTGGGTCAGGTGGTGATAGCAGAAGTGAGGGAACACTGAGGCCAGAGCCTTTAACGTCATTTCCGAGGGAGAGTTGAGGCTGGATGGAGAACACAGTCTAGGATGTGCTGTTCTGAATAATTCCAGCAGGCTCTGGGGCATATGTCTGGCTGTGTGGTCCTGTCTCTGGGTACGCTTAGGGTAGGGGTAACACTGGTTTGGTATGTGAGGGTTAGATAAAGGGAATGGTTGACTTACATGTGACGGGTGTGATTCTAAATATACTGTATTATCTTTAGGAATTAGCTAACCCAGGGAGGGTCTGTCTCTCCCTGAATTTATAAGGCTCTCAAAGGTACCAAACAGCATGAGCTGAAAAAAATCAAAACACATGATGAATACAACCACCCAGTCAGAGAGATGAAGGAACCTGAATGTCACCATCATGCTCGGTTTTGTATCACCTCAGCTTTTCTCTGCATTTGTGCTTTGTTTTCTCTGACTAATTTTCTCTCCTGTATGGGAAACATGGGTGTCACCAGTTCCAAGCCAAGCTGCAGTGTGAAAAATCCCAGGGAGAGATATGATAGGTCGGTCTTGAGTCGCATTCCTGGAGTGGCCAACCATGGCCAAAGGGCAGGATTCTCTGATGGACAGCACAGACCTCTGAAACAGGCAGCTGGGTCTGGAGGAGGAGCACCTGTTCTCGGAGAAGCAGAGCGCTGTTCCCAGAAGGAAGAGACTCTATACTGTAAATGTCTGGACTGGACGAGAGCTATAGATAAGGTCAATAAAGAGTTTTGCAGAGGAGCATTCAAGGTTTCACCTTAGGCTTCATCCAGACCAGGTGCTGCCAATCTTCCCAAGGATGAGGATCCTTTTACAACATCCACACTCCGTGCAGACCTGCCCATCACAGCACTCATTCATAATGTGTGATTGAGAAACAATGTGATGGCGAGGGTGACAGAAGCTTCCACTTGAGCTATTACTCCTTGCAATTTGCATGGATAATCTCATGTAATCCTTGAATCATGCTTAGGAGACAGGTACTGTTATTATCCACATGATGGAGAGGAGAAAATAAACGATTACTCAAGGCCAGACAGCTAGTAACTGGTGGGCCAGAGTCCAAACAGGTCATTGATTCAAAAAAATGTATTCATATAACCTACGTTGTTATCAAAAAGTGCCTCACGGCTGGATGCAGAGGCTCACACCTGTAATCCAGCACTTTGGGAGGCCGAGGCAAATGGATCACTTGAGGTCAGGAGTTAGAAGCCAGCCTGGCCAACATGGTGAAACCCCCTCTCTACTAAAAATACAAAACCTAGCCCAGCGTGGTGGTGGGCACCTATAGTCCCAGCTACATGGGAAGCTGAGGCAGGAGAATCACTTGAACCCAGGAGACAGAGGTTGCAGTGAGCTGAGATTGTGCCACTGCACTCCAGCCTGGGCAGCAAAGTGAGACTCCATTAAAAAAAAAAAAAAGTGCCACGAAAGTACATGGGAACTTGGTGATGCTTTTAAACACAGTTGCATTTTATTTACCACAATACTGTATACTGTCATTTGAAAATGAATTGTACATATATTTACAATAAATGTTACTCATTTTAATTTTCCTTTTAAAATATTTTTTAGGCCTGGTATGGTGGCTTGTACCTGTAACCCCAGCAGTTTGGGAGGCTGAGGCGGGCAGATCACTTGAGGCCAGGAGTTTGAGAGTGGCCTGTTCAACATGGCAAAACCTCGTCTTTACTAAAATTCCAAAAATGAGATGATGCTGGTGGCGGTGAGCACCTGTCACCCAGCTACTCGGGAGGCTGAAGCATGAGAATCACTTAAACCTGGGAGGCAGAGATTGCAGTCAGCCAAGATTGCACTGCTGCACTCCAGCCTGGGCAGACTATCTTAAAATAAACAAACAAATAAATAAAAATAAAATATTTTTTAGAGACAGGGTCTCACTCTGTCACCTAGGCCAGAGAGCAGCGGCACAACTATAACTTACCACATCCTTGAATTCCTGGGCTCCAGTGATTCTCCCACTTCAGCCCCCTGAGTAGTTAGGACTACAGGCACACACCACCACACCCAGCTAAGTTTTAAGTTTTATCTATAGAGACAGAGTCTCACTTTGTTGCCCAGACTTATCGCCAACTCCTGGACTCGGGTGATCCTCCTGCTTTGGCATCCCACAGCACTGAGATTATAGCCAGTGTGCCTGGCAATATGCTACTAACTTAATGGCCCCATGAACCCCTACAACATCTCCCCCTTCTAGCCCAATGTCCTCTATTCTCCCTACCCGAAGCCAGGCCCACTCTGGAGTCCTTTGGCATCACCACTTAGAAAACTCTGAGATAACACAGGCTGCCACTCCTGAATGACCAATGGGAAGACATTCCACTGTGGGACTGGGAGAGGAAAAACAGTATAGGCATCCGCTGACCAGCTCATCCCGAGAACTTGTACACCATTTCAAACACGGGGCAACAAGCCCTGCAGAGGGACAGTGTCATCTGAGAGTGACAAAGGGAGGGATAGAGAACTTGACGGGGCAGGTTTGATTTAGTAACATGGTCCCCCTTCTTTTCAATTAAAATGATCTGAAACAAAAAGGGTGCGAGAGATCTGTTTCAGTCTCCCTTTAAAAGAGTTAACAGAAGGAATTCAACAGCTTAATTTGTTTTAGGCTTAGAACTTACACTAACAAAAGGTTGTGACAAGTTTTTGTATTTAGCAGTGATCAGGCTGATTTCAGCTCACATCTTTCCCAGATTTGGTTGCAAGACTCCTATTTCCAATTTTCAGAAGCATCTGTGACTCTATGGAGATATCGTGTGGCAACCTTATCCAGGGGGATCAGTCCGATGTATGAAGTTTTTCCTTCATGTTTCATCAAGTTTATCTCTCTCTACCTGATTTATAATCATGCGGTGCATCTGCATAGCACAATATCATTGTCAAAGCCCTTCGCTGTGTATTATTGCCATATTAGATCTTTTAAAATTATATATATATATATATTTTTTTTTTTTTTTCAGAGACAGCATCTTGCTCTTTTGTTCAGCCTGATCCTGAACTCCTGGACTCAAGCACTCCTGTGTTGGTTTCCCAAAGTGCTGGGATTACAGGCCTGAGCCACTGCACCCGGCCCCATCAGATCTTGACAGTTCGCCATAAGGAGTACTCATTATTCTCACCTGAAATCAAAATGAGGAAACTGACTTCTTTACTGACTACCCTGAAGCTTGTTGAGGTATTTCATTTCAACAAGCACTAGTTTGCTAAAGTTGGGCCCAGATCTCTCACTCTTGTCAAGAAAGTACAGTATTTTTTTCTTACTCTGATGGAAAGAGATGAAAAGTGATGCCAGAACCCAAAACTAAATCTGACAGTAACGGATGCGTTCCTCTAGGAAGAGTCCAGCAGAAAGCTGCACAGGGAAAATCTTGGTATCTCTTCAGTTCACTGCCTGACCTGGTTTGGCTTTGAGAAACAGAGAGGACCACAGAAAAGGAGACAAGGAAAGGGAACAGATACTCCCAGGAAGGTGTGAGACAAAGGGTGAGTAATTCAAAGGTTAGAGAGGGAAGGTGAATATGTGCTCACATAAAACAAGTCACTCTCGCTTAATAGGTCTAAAGACTTTTCCAGCTCTAATTTCTAAGATATCAATAGCTACTTAATGACTTCATGAGTAGGTAACAAATATGTTATTTAAGGAACAGCTACAAAACCTCCCGGCTGCCTAGAGAATGGCATTAGGCTTGTTCTAGAGGCAAAATATGTTCTTTAAGAGTTCCTTTGTGCTGATTATTAACTGTAATCATTGTAGGGGCACAAAAATATGTTACATATTAGTAATTAGAAACACAACAAAGGATTTTTTAGATTTTATTTTCTCATTTCCATGCATTTTGGGGCACAGGTAGTATTTGATCACATTGTTTAGTGGTGATTTAGTGGTGATTTGTTTAGTGGCAGTATACACTGAAGCAAATTTGTAGTCTTTTATCCCTCACCCCATCCCACCCTTTCCCCTGAGTCCCCAAAGTCCATTGTGTCATTCTTATGCCTAGTGTATTAGTCCATTCTCATGCTGCTGATAAAGACATACCTGAGACTGGGAAGAAAAAGAGATTTAATTGGGCTTAGAGTTCCATGTGGCTGGGGAGGCCTCAGAACCATGACAGGAGGCAAAAGGCACTTCTTACCTGGTGGTGGTAAGAGGAAATGGGGAAGAGACAAAAATGGACACCGCTGATAAAACCATCAGATTTTGTGAGACTTATTAACTATCATGAAAATAACACAGGAAAGACCAGCCCCCTGATTCAATTACCTTCCCCTGGGTCCCTCCCTCAACACATGAGAATTCTGGCAGATACAATTGAAGTTGAGATTTCAGTGGGGACATAACCAAACCATATCATTCTGTCCCTGCCCCCTCAAATCTCGTGTCCTTGAATTTCAAAACTAATCATGTCTTACCAACAGTCCCCCAAAGTCTTAACTCATTTTGGCATTAACCCAAAAGTCCATATTCTGAAGTCTCATTTGTGACAAGTCAAGTTCCTTCTGCCTGTGAGCCTGTAAAATCAAATAAAAACTAGTTACTTCCTAGATAGAGTGTGGGTACAGCTATTGGGTAAGTACAGCCATTCCAAGTGGGAGAAATTGACTAAAACAAAGGGATTACAGGGCCCATGCAAGTCCAAAATCCCATGGGCAATCGAATTTTGAAGCTCCAAAACTATCTCCTTTGAATCCAAGTCTCATATCCAGGTCACGCTGATGCAAGAGGTTGATTCCCATGATCTTGGGCAGCTCCACCCCTGTGGCTTTGCAGGGTACAGCCACCCTCCTGGCTGCTTTCATGGGCTGACATTGAGTGCCTGCAGCTTTTCCAGGTGCATGATGCAAGCTGTTGATGGATCTACCATTCTGGGTCCTGGAGGACAGTGGCCTTCTTCTCACAGCTCCAGTAGGCAGTGCCCCAGTAGGGACACTGTGTGCGGGCTCCAACCCCAAATTTCCCTTCTGCACTGTCCTAGCAGAGGTTCTCCATGAGGGCCCCACCCCTAGAGCAAACTTTTGCCTGGACCTCTAGGCATATCCATACACCTTCTGAAATCTTGGTGGAGGTTCCCAAACCTCAGTTCTTGACTTTTGTGTGCTGCAGACTCAGCACCACATGGAAGCTGCCAAGGCTTTAGGCTTCCACTGTTTGAAGCCACACCCTGTGCTGTACATTGGCCCCTTTCAGCCATGGCTGCAGTGGCTGGGACACAGGGCATCAAGTCCCTAGGCTGCTCATAGCAGGGAGACCCTGCACCTGGCCCATTAAACCACTTTTCCTTCTAGGCCTCTGGGCCTGTGATGGGAGGGGCTGCCCTGAAGGTCTCTGACATGGGCTGGAGACATTTTCCCCATTGTCTTGGGAATTAACATTAGGATCCTTGCTACTTATACATTCTGTAGCCAGCTTGAATTTCTCCCCAGAAAATGCTTTTTTTGGGTTTTTTTTGGTGTGTATGTGTGCATAGTCAGGCTGCAAACTTTCCAAACTTTCATTCTGTGCTTCCTTTTTAAAACTGAATGCTTTTAACAGTACCCAAGTCACCTCTTGAATGCTTTGCTGCTTAGAAATTTCTTCTGCCAGATTCCCTAAATCATCTTTCTCAAGTTCAAAGTTCCAAAAATCTCTAAGGGAGGGGCCAAATGCCACCAGTCTCTTTGCTAAAACATTACAAGAGTCACTTTTGCTCCAGTTCCCAAAAAGTTCCTCATTTCTGCCTGAGACCTCCTCGGCCTGGACTTTATTGTCCATACTGCTTATCAGCATTTCGGGCAAAGCCATTCAATAAGTCTCTAGGACTACAAACTTACCAACATTTTCCTGTCTTCTTCTGAGCCCTCCAAACTGTTCCAACCTCTTCCTGTTACCCAATTCCAAAGTTGCTTCCACATTTTTGGGTATCTTTTCAACAATGCCCCACTCTACTGATACCAATTTACTGTATTGGGCAATTTTCACACTGCTGATAAAGACATACCTGAGACTAGGAAGAAAGAGATTTAATTGGACTTATAGTTCCACATGGCTGGGGAGGCCTTAGCATCATGATGGGAGATGAAAGGCGCTTCTTACATGGTGGTGGCAAGAGAAAATGAGGAAGAAGCAAAAGTGGAAACCCCTGATAAACCCATTAGATCTCATGAGACTTATCATCTATCATGAGAATGGTACAGGAAAGACCAGCCCCCATGATTCAATTACCTCCCCTGTGTCCCTCCCTCAACACATGGAAATTCTGGGAGATACAATTCGAGCAGAGATTTGGGCAGGGATAGAGCCAAACTGTTTCACCTAGAAAAGGATGTTTTATGCTCACATTTTTCTTAGCCATTTTATTCAAAGCAGTTAGGTGCCATAGTTTGTGCATCATCTGGAATTACTTAAATGCTTTCCACAGAAGTTGTGATTGATGATTGTTAAAAATGTCAATAATTGTCCTAGTGTCCAAAATGCCCCCCAAATCAAATAACCTTTGAATTGCTGAATGTAAGTGCAGTAATGTATAGTGGAGATCATATAGGTCAATGCCACCAGTTTGAACTCATCCATTTGATTAATTGGACAAATATTTGCTTTATTTGTAAAACATAAAGTCACACCTGTCAGGGACTTAACATACTATAAGATTATTTCTGCCTCAATGGAAGTCTGAAGTGGATGTTTCTATCCACAGTGGATCATTGCCAATTGAATCAGATGTTGGCACTAGCCCTGACTTTTGCAAACTTTGTTTGCAGTGAAATTAACTGCTCTACTGACAGTACACTGTCTGGGGCACAGCTAGTGCTTTTCACCAATCTTTTTGGCACCAAGTATCAATAATCAGTTTCCCTCAAATGTCACCTGAACCTCCCAAACCTGTTTTTTGTCCTGCTACAGGGGCAGGAAATTCACCTATATTTGCTACAAACAGATGGACCAAAATGTAGAATGAGTTTCTCCTTGCAGAACCTGATGTGATTCCACTGCATTGGTGAGATTCTGCTGATAAGCTCCAATCAAGAACAGCTAGGAACTGCTCTTGTGTAGACTCTGCCTTACAGAAAAGCCCAGGAGCGGCTCATTAGTCCTAAGATGATACAGAGACCGGACATCTAAGTCAAGTCTGTGGATCTATGAGGACAGAGGCTCAAAGACCCTCTCCTGAGACAGTAAAGGGAAATACACCCACTCTAGAGACCTTACTACTTTAAAAGGAAGCCTAGCACTTAGTGGGACTGTTTGGAGCTTGCAGATGAAACATGACTCACCCTGGTATTTTGGTCAGCTCTGTGTACAAACTGACAAAGAAAATCTGCAAATCAACCAAATTTATTTGGAGGGTGGGGTGGGGCCTTGCGGGGAGTAACTTGGGCAGCAGGTGCAATGGGAATAATTTAATAGGCATGTTGGCATCTCCCTAATTTGGGTCTGTAAACCCTATGGCTTTTGGGAACTACATGTATATCTTAATTTTATCTATGCTGTATGGAGCCTGCAGCAAAGGGAGGCAGCCTCTGCGCAGATCACACCCCTTGGGGCACTGATTTCAAGGGTGTGGCTCCCTGCTCTCTTCTGCTTGAGACACAGCTGCTGTCCTACATCTAGGCCTTAGAGAAAACTCCTAGTTACCATTGCACCCAGATATTCCCATCCTGCGTTGGTTCCCTCATGTACTAAAGACAGAATTGAAAATGCACAGATTTCTCAAATTAAATGGAAGTGGAACACTTAATGGGGCAAGTCTGGTCTCATAGGTAATTCTCTTTACACAAGTAAGTTGAGACCTCACCTTTAGGGCCTCTTGTCCCTCTCTTGATTACTCACAAGATCAGCTTTTGACTCTCTGGAGACCACTCCCAGGAAATCCATGAGAATGCTGGGGCTTAGCTTACTGAAAACTAAAAGTGCTGGTGTCCACCTGGTGGCAGCAGCCATCTAGCCCCAGAGACAACTCTGGAAGAGCTACTGCAGGAGGAGTCCATAGCCCAGTGAACCAAATGGCAAACCATCATCTTTGCCTTAATCAGTGCTCATAAGAACCAGACATGCCTTTTTCACCTATTCTTGGGAACAGTCAGAAAGCTGCCTGGTTGGTGACAACTGACTAGTATATTAAAGACACTCCTCTATGGGGCAACAAGCTATTGATAGCCACTACTGTAGCCTCGTGAGACATTTTTGTTGCCCTTGTGGATGCCATTGGAAGGATACATATGAGGTGAGACAACATGGAACAAAGTAGATTACTGGGCCCTCTAGCTCTGGTGTCCAGCGTCACTGCTTCAATGCGTTATTGGACTGGAGATGGTAATCTTGCCACTAACACAATAGGGTCAAAAGTTAAGCCCTATCTGAGTGCCACAGAGAGTAAAATGGCCTGTGGGGACTGTGGTCCCTCTCAGCACCTGATCTCTCTCTAAAGGTGACAGGGATCCTTAGCTCTGGGGATAGAACCTGCCCTTGTCTGGCAAAAACAATACATTGGTCTTCTGCTGCCACCTGGTGGCCACCACTGGCATGCAGCGGTAATTGACAACTGTTATCATGGAGTTGCCATTCTGTGAAGCTGGCAGATTCTTGCCACACCACAGCGGCACCGGACACTATTCTCTGCCTTGGTTGGTATCCGGTTCACTTGTAGGTAGTTGATGCCACACTGCTCACAGCAAGGGGGACCCCAGTAGTGGGCTAATGAACAAAACATTCAACGCCATTTCATGTCCTTGGTCTCAGCTTGGTGGCATTTTGTGGTGAGATAGGCTTTGGAAGATGTGACTGAGAAAATTGCTAGACAGATGATGTTATCTGCACTGTGGCCTACACTTCTTTAGCAGACAGTGTGAGCATTACATGCAGCTGCTCCTCAGAGGAAACATTCCTTTTGGAGGAGGTGTTTGAGAAAATCAGGACAGAAGGGGAAGGGATTCAGGGAGATCGGTTCTCTATGTCCGTGATTTCACCATAAAATCTCTCAACAACTGTTTTTTGTTTTTGTTTGTTTGTTTGTTTGTTTAAATTAACCCTACCACCTGGGAAACCTCACTGGTTTCATCGTTAGGTGACACCATCAGTGACAACACAGAGGTGACTCTAATCTGTTGCTTCTACCGCCACCGTGTTTGGGTTATTAAATATGGAAGATCATATGATTAACTGCTAGAATTTGTGAACCCTAATGAACTTTTTCAGTGGCCCAGTTCTACTACTGTGCCCAGCCCTCATGATTGGTGACCCTCAATGAGGAAGGCCTGGGTGTGGGCAAGTAATTGATTAATAAAGATGGATATAGCAGTTACTGAATTAGAACAAACAGATTATGCCACTGTTGAAGGAAAGGAGCACCCCCAGTACTAGGGAGAAATCGCCTTTTACATTTCAGTACATAAACCAATTTCAGTTTATTTTTTGTATAAAATAATAGTAGATACTCATATTTTTCTTATGGATATGCTGTTACTTCAGTACCTTTTGGTGAAAAGACTTCCCTTTTAAAATTTCTCTTTAAAATTCAAATAAAATACATATATCATAAAGTATGCCATCTTAACCTTTTTTTTTTTTTTTGAGACGGAGTTTCGCTCTTGTTACCCAGGCTGGAGTGCAATGGCGCGATCTCGGCTCACCGCAACCTCCGCCTCCTGGGTTCAAGCAATTCTCCTGCCTCAGCCTCCTGAGTAGCTGGGATTACAGGCACTCACCACCATGCGCAGCTAATTTTTTGTATCTTTAGTAGAGACGGGGTTTCCCCATGTTGACCAGGATGGTCTCGATCTCTTGACCTCGTGATCCACCCGCCTCGGCCTCCCAAAGTGCTGGGATTACAGGCGTGAGCCACCGCGCCCGGCCTGGCTTCCTTCTTGAGTCTGCAACAAGCGGCTCTGCCTTCCCAGAGCTCCAAACACCGGTCAGTAAGGGAACCAGCCCCGTTTACTCTGCATGAAGAGCTGCCACACCAAGGCACTGGCAAAACCACTGCGCCGGCCACAAGACTTGCCCTAGCGACCCCTGGGGCTTTTCTACTAGAAATCTGCTGGTTCGTGAGCTACGAAAATTCATCTGAAAGTGTGGCGTCCTCTCGTTCTCTGAGCTTTCACTGGGAGCTACATTCCGAGCTGTTAGTGATCAGACATCTTGGATCGAGATTGTGCCATTGCACAATAACTGTTTTTAAATGCATTAGTTTCTTATATAATGGAGCAAACGAAATGTGGAGTTACAAATAAAAGCGACAATAATACTAGTTTTTAGACTAATGATTATATTTAAGCATATTAGTCTCTGAAATCATGTAGAAAATCGTAAGTGGAATTAGAAATGGTCAATACAGTAATACTAGCTTTTATAATTGCCCATGTATTTATCTTTACTGAAATACCGGGGCACTGATAATGGGTATTGAAATTTTCAACTATTGCTGTAAAATTTCTTCTTTTAATTATGTCAATTTTTGCTTCATATATTTTGATGGTCTATTATTAGGTGAAAAAAAGTTTATAAGTAATATATTCTTGCATTAATCTTATTAATATATACTATTCTTTTTGTCTCTTGTTAACTCTATTGACTTAAAGTCTGTTTTGTTTGATATTAGTATAGCCTTCTCTACTCTCTTCTGGTTACTATTTTCATGAAATATCATTTCCATCCTTTAACTTTTGACCTGTTTGTGCCTTTGGATCTAAAATGATTCTCTGTAGACAGCACAGTTGGATCATGTGTTTTATTCTGGTAATCTATGTGTTTTGATTGAAGAATTTGATACATTTACATTTAAAGTAATTACTAATGTGTCTCTTTCCTGTGATACTAAAAAATAAAATAAAACAGAAATAATCACTAAGTTGTCATTTTGCTATTTGTTTTTTGTATAGCTTTTTGTTCTTCATTTTCTGCATTGCTTTATTTTTTGATTCATTAATTTTATTGTAGTGAAACATTATAATTCCTTCTCATTTCCTTTTGTGTATATGATATATCCGCATTTTTGTTGTTACCCTGGGAATTTCATTTAACATTCTAAAGTCATAATGCTTTCATTTGAATTTATATCACATTAACTTCAATAACAAAGTAATCTGCTTTTTTTTTACAGCTCTAGTCCCATCCTTTTCATTCAGTTGTTGACATAATAAAATCACATTTCTGTATATTGTGTTTCAAAAACATAGATTAGTGATCATTTTTTAAAATGCATTAGTCTCTTAAATTACATAAAAAACAAAAAGTAGGGCTACAAATGGTGGTTATAATAGCATTAACTTTTATAACTGCCATGAATTTACCTTTACTAAGATATTTACTTATTATCAAGTGTCTTTTCATTTCAACAGGACTCTGTTTACCATTCCTTGAAAGTTTGGCTTAGTGGTAAAAAAAAAAAAAAAAAAAAACCTCCCTCAGCTTTGTACATCTAGGAATGTAGGAATGTCATCTTCTCTCCCTCACTTTTGAAGGACATCTTTGCCAGATATAGGATTCTTGTTTTACTTTTCTTTTTAATCACTTTGAATAAATTATCACTAGTTAATGCCTTCCAGATTCTAAAGTTCCTGACGAGAAATCTGCTAAAAATCTTGTTGAGGGTCCTTTGTATGCAACAGGTCACTGATGTCTTGCTGCTTTCAAGATTCTCTCCTTGCCTTTCAATAGTTTAATTATTATGTGTCTTGGTGTAGGTCTCTTTGAACTCATTCTACGTGGAGTTCATTGAACTTACTGGATGTTAGTATTTATGTTTTTCATCAAATTTGGTAAGTTTTCAGCCATTGTTTTGTCAAATAATCTCTCTTCTTCTTCTTCTGGGATTCTCTCTTTTTTCTCTCTCTCCTCCTTCTGGGATTCCCACAGTGGATATGTTGGTCCACTTTGTGGTGTCTCTCAGGTCCCTTAGGCTCTGTTCACTTTTCTTTAATCTTTTTTATTTCTTTTCCTCAGACTCAATAATTTCAATTGTCCTATTTCCAAGTTTGCACATTCTGTCTTCTCCCTACTTCAGATCTGCTTTTGAATTCATCCAGTGAATTTTTCATTTTAGTTATTGTACTGTATAACTCCATAATTTTTTCATTTAACTTCATTTTTCATTTGGGTTTTCTATCTCTTTATTGATATTTTCATTTTATTTATCCATCATTTTCTTGACTTCTCCACAACCTCCTTTAGTTATTGAGAATCTTCAAGAGAGCTGTTTTAAAGTATTTCTCTAGTACATTCACCATCTATCTTTCTCAGGGACATCAGGGACTTTTTCTGTTGGCTTACTTTTTTCTTTCAAGTGGCTATACTTTCCTATTTTTTCATATGCCTTATGTCTTTTTTCTTGAAAGTGGGACAATTAATAATGCAGAAACTCTGGAAATCATATCATCCCCTTCCACCAGGGTTTGCCATTTTTGTTTTGATTTTGATTTTTGAGGTTATCTCCACACTGAGGATTAGCCTGAGGTATAAACTTAAGGACTTCTCAGATCTTTTTAAGAGACTACAGCTTTCTACAGGAATGTACAGTGATGTTCTAATTTCCCTACATATGTAGTGGCTTGTGAATGTCTTCGTTTGTAATAATGATTAAATCTTTTTAAATTCCCTGCAAGTCACTTCATTTGGAGGGAAGGAGCTTGCAACATTAGTTGCCCACCTTTGTGTCTGCACCTCTGTGATCAGACACAGCAATCAGTAATGAGGACACAGATTCCAGATATCTATAAGTCATGGTCAGTACTGCTCATCCTGGCTCCAAAAATCTGCATACAAGCTGCTTCAGAAACACATGTTTGGCTGCCTGCCATAGGGCTGAAATTGGGGGCTGGGTAACTACTACAGAGCTAAAAGTTGAAATTGACCCAAATTAACTGCAATGAACCATCCATGCCTTCCCCTGGAAGTTGCAAGCTTTCAATAGACTCCAGTTTTAAAATAGTGACATCAGGCAGATTCTGCCACTGCAATTTTTATCTAAGTGGGGAGATAGATTTTTTATATTTCTTAATCCATCATCTACTTTTAAAAAAAAAAAAAGTTTTGAATGGAAGACCTGATATCTCATGGAATGAATGATTGGCCTGCCTTTGCTCAAACTTTCCAGTAGCAAGACGTTCACTCCCTCACAAAGTAATGTGATGTACTATTTATAGGAAGCCTGCTATTGTAATTGCCTAAGGGATTCACCTTACCTGCTGCCTAGACAGAGCCAATTCATCAAGACAGGGGAACTGCAATAGAGAAAGAGTAATTCATACAGAACCAGCTGTGTGGGAGACTGGAATTTTATTATTACTCAAATTAGTCACCCTGAACATTCAGGGAGCAAAGTTTTTGTTTTTTTCATTTTTTTGTTGTTGTTTTGGTTTTGGTTTTCTTTTGAGACAGAGTCCTGCTCTGTCACCCAGGCTGGGGTGCAGTGGCATAATCTCAGCTCACTGCAACCTCTGCCTCCCAGGTTCAAGCAATTCCTGCTTCAGCCTCCTGAGTAGCTGAGATTACAGGCACATGCCACCATGCCCAGCTAATTTTTGTATTTTTAGTAGAGATGGGATTTCATCATCTTGGCCAGGCTGGTCTTGAACTCCTGACCTCAGGATCTACCCTCCTAGGCCTCCCAAAGGGGAACAGAGTTTTAAGGATAGCTTGGTAGGTGGGGGGAAGCCAGTGAATGAGAAGTGCTGATTGGTTGGAGATGAAATCATAGGGAGTCTAAGCTGTCTTCTTGTGCTGAGTCAGTTCCTGGGTGGGGGCCACAAAATCAGATGAGCCAGTTTATTGATCTGGGTGGTGCCAGGTGATCCATCAAGTGCAGGGTCTGCAAAATATCTTAAGCACTAATCTAAGGGCAGTTTAGGGAGAGTCAGAATCTTGTTGCCTCCAGCTGCATGACTCCTAAAAAATTATTTCTAAACCTATGGCTAATGTTAGTCCTACAAAGGCAATATAGTCCTCATTGCCTTTGAAGGAGGTCTCCTTTAAGAAAGGGATGTTACCGTCTTTGTTTAAACTATAAACTAAGTTTCTCCCAAAGTTAGTTCAGCCTACACCCAGGAATGAACAAGGACAGCTTGGAGGTTAAAAGCAAGATGGAGTCAGTTAAGTTAGATCCATCACTGTCTCAGTCATAATTTTGCAAAGACAGCTTCAATCCCTCTGCTTTGGTTTTATAACATCTTAATCTTAAGGTGTAGGCTATGAAGATGGAAAAAGGTCATCAATTGCTCTGGCTTCTTCCTGCTGACAGGGGACATAGTGGGAGGGAGAGTGAACCCCAAGGTGAGAAGACTGGAACTGCGTTGCCACTGTCAGCTTGCTCATGCAGGCCTGGCTGGGCTTTCAAGTCTCGCAGAGCAAAACCTTAATACTTTTGTCTATCATTTTACTATGATATTAAGTGAACAGCCTACTATAAGGTAAATAATGAGTCCTAGAATGAGGAGTACAATTCCCAATTTTAAAAGCAAGGATTTGGGCCAGGTGCAGTGGCTCATACCTGTAATCCCAGCACTTTGGGAGGCTAAGGCTGGTGGATCATGAGTTCAGGAGGTCAAGACCGGCTTGGCCAATATGGTTAAACCCTGTATCTACAAAAAATATTAAAAAATTAGCTGGGCGTGGTGGCGGGCATCTGTAGTCACAGCTACTTGGGAGGCTGAGGCAGAAGAATTGCTTGAACCAGGAAGGCTGAGGTTGCAGTGAGCTGAGATCACGCCACTGTACTCCAGTCTGGGTGACAGAAGAAGACTCCATCTCAATAAAAACCAAAACCAAAAACAAAAGCTAAGATTTAAAGCATTAGTTTGGGGACATCTAACTCACAAATCCAAGAATTTAGGATTTAGTCCAAATTGCAGAAAAAAATTCAAGGACAGCTATAATGACAGTGTACTATAGATTTTCTTTTGAAGGATAATTTTTCTCTCTCCAGCCCCCATTTTTATTAAAAAACAAATCATAATAGAACTGATTTGGAGCTTAAGACATGGCCCTTGAGCATATGTTTGAGGTCTCATGAGGGGAAGAGGAATGAGATAAATTCTTGCTTAGTTGAGGGCGTTACTGACTCTTACCTAGGGAAACAGTGTCAGAGACATTCAAAGCAGAGCGACTCCATCTTGAATAGGGGCTGGGTAAAACACGCTGAGACCCACGGGCTGAGGTTAAGGCATTCTTAGTCATAAGATGAGACAGGAGGTCAGCACAAGTTACAGGTCACAAAGACCTTGCTGGTAAAATGGGCTGCAGTTAGGAAGCTGGCCAAAACCCACCAAAACCAAGATGGTGATGAGAGTGGCCTCTGGTGGTCCTTGCTGCTCATTATATGCTAATTATAATGCATTAGCATGCTGAAAAACACTCCCACCAGTGCCATGACATTTTACAGATGCCACGGCGGTATCAGGATGTTACCCTATATGGTCTAAAAAGGGGAGGAACCCTCAGTTCCAGGAATTGCCCACCCCTTTTCTGGGAAACTCATGAATAATCCACTCCTTGTTTAGCATATAATCAAGAAATAACTCTAAGTCTCCTTAGGCAGCCCACACCATTGCTCTGTGTATAGAGTAGCCATCCTTTTGTTTCTTTATTTCTCTAATAAACTTGCTTTCTTTGTTCTCTGTGAACTCATCCTGAATCCTTTTTTGCATGAGATCCAAGAACCCTCTCTTGGGAGTCCAGATCGGGAAACCTTTCCTGTAACAGCAGTACTCAGGAAAGGCACGGGAGGTGCAGGAGCTCCGGGTACAGGAAGATAAGGGTGGAGACAAGCATTTCCCACTGAAGGTGAGCTTTGGGCCTGTGATATGACCTGTGAAACACCCCTGCAAAAGCAACTCTCAGTACTCACTCCACCTTGTCCTGTAGTTTGTGCAGCAGTTATATAGGCATGGACTGTTTTGCCTCACAACCCACAGTCTGAAATCTGGCTTAGCCCACACTTCTTGGGCAAAACCTTCAGAAAAGTTTCAGGGCCTCTCCTTTTAGGATGACTAAAATATTGCTGGGCCAGTGTTACTGTGCACAGAACACATGGAAATGTTAAAATACACATTCCTGCACCTCACTCCAGATACTCTGGTTCAGTATGTCTGAGGTGGGGCCTGAGAATTAGTTTTTTTTTTTCCCTCTTGAGATGCAGTCCTGCTCTATTGCCCAGGCTGGAGTGGATTAGCTCTATCTCAGCTCACTGTAACCTCTGCCTTCTTGGTTCAAGTGATTCTCCTGACTCAGCCTTCTGAGTAGCTAGGATTACAGGAGCAAGCCACCATGCCCAACTAATTTTTGTATTTTTAGTAGAGACAGGGTTTCACGATGTTGGCCAGGGTGGTCTCAAACTCTTGGCCTAAGGTGATCCGCCTGCCTCAGCCTCCCAAAGTGCTGGGATTACAGGCATAAGCCACCACACCCAGCTGAGAATTAGCATTACTAAAGTTCCCCAAGAGAAGCAGATGCCTCTGGCCCACCTGTCACCCTTTGGGCAGCACAGATTTGAATTGCGTTTCATCGTTGAAATCAGTTATATGGTGACCTTACTTTAAAATGTTAGTGAAAAATGGTCTGTGACAAATCCCAGCCTATCCAGTGATGTTTATAAATTGAAAGCCATCAGCTTTAGAATTGGGTGGACTTGGATTTCTCTGTTGTCTGACTCTTACAAGCTGTGTACAGCTCACCTCTCCAGGCTTTCAAGTCCCTCCGTTTTTAAATTGGGAATAAAATTACTTACCTCTTAGGGATGTGGTGAGAATTATATGAGGGGGCAAGTGAAAGGCACAGAGCCCTTATAAGAAATAGACTTAGTATGTCACATTAGATGCTTGATGTATATATTTTAGAAACTCATCCCCAGCAAATGTCCCCTGACTCCTCCTACCCACAGCCTTCTGTGTCATCTCATACACTCATCAATGTGTTGTCTTGGTTTTCACGACTTCACTGTACTTCTAAGATGGGAAACCTAGTCAGTTTCAGTTAGCTCATCTCTCCCCTATCCAATGTCTTGCACAGTGCTTGGGACATAGTTGATGATGAATAAATATTTGTTAATTGTGTGAACTACATATAGAGGCCATATTAGTAGTCTTCAACCCAGGTTACACATAGAATTGCCTGGAAATTACCTGGGATATGCCCCAGAGATTCTAATTCAATTAATCAAGGGTAGTGTTTCTCAACCTTGGCTGCATATTAGACTCACCGGGGAAATGTAAAACTGCACATGCTCTGGCCCCATCCCTGGCCAGTTACACCATAACCACTGGGGCTGGCACCCAAGCAGTAGTGTTTTTGAAAAGTTGCGCCAGGTGACTCTCTTATGCAGCTGGGATTGGGCACTACTGGACTAGCTGGGGAAACAATTTAAGCACATCAAGAGTGGACTATTGGGCAGGGCTTGGTGGCTCACGTCTGTAATCCCAATACTTTGGGAGGCTGAGGCTGGCTGATCACTTGAGGTCAGGAGTTCGAGACCAGCCTGGCCAACATGGTGAAACCCTTTCTCTACTAAAAATACAAAAATTAGCCAAGTGTGGTGGCACATACCTGTAATCCCAGCTACTCAGGAAGCTTAAGCAGGAGAATCGCTTGAACCCAGGAGGCAGAGGTTGCAGTGAGCCCAGATCGTGCCACAGCACTCCAGCCTGGGGGACAGAGTGAAATTCTGTCTCAAAAAAAAAAGAGTGGACTATTCATGTGTTCTTAAGTCAGACAAATATGAAATTAGGAAGGGAGTGAGTCACTTTTTGCGTATGTCTAATAATATTTAATTTTGTCCTTTCCAACTCTGTTGATTTAATTTAATTGCTCACTGTACAGGGTTGTTCTCTTCCTGGTCCACTTCTCTATGCTTTTGAATCTGTGCATACGATCTTATTTGGAAATAGGGTGTTTGCAGACACAATGGAGTTAAGACAAGGTCATTCTTGATTAGAATGGGCCCTAATCCAATGGCTGGTGCCCTTATAAGCAGAGGGAAATTTGAACACACATGTAAGGGAAAACTCCATGCAAAGACAGAGACAGGGATCAGAGTGATGTGTCTTTAAGCCAAGGAATGTCAAGGATTCCAGTAACTTTAAGAAACTGGGAGAGAGGCATTTAACGGATTTTCCCTCAGGCCCTCCGGGAGAAACTAACTTTGGCAACACCTTGAGGCATTCTTACCTCGGTAAGAGTGAGGTAACACTTCTTACCTTCTTACATAACAGTGAGATAGCACATTTCTGTTGCTTTACGCCACCTAGTCTGTGTAATGCATGATGGCAGCTTGAATAAAATAACAGTGACTTAATGGAGATCCATGATCTCTATAGCATCTAGGTGTCGAGTTTGTTAAGAAGATTAAAGTCATATTTCTGAAATCATTCCTTTATTTTGCACACACATAGCTGCTATTCACTGAACTTTCTCTAACTACAAGTCCATGCTGCCATGCGATGAAATGTGACAAATTCACGTCTTGCTCAGAAGGCTGAACTGGAAATTCATGAATGCGTTACAGATTTAAACGTTCATAGAAGGCTCTAATCAACAAAGCAAAGCTTCTACAGATAGAAAGTAGATGTGTATGCTTGTCACTCTTGGGCCCGTCGGCTCCTTCCAGAAAGGAGGGTTTCTTTTCCAAACTTCAGGGACTGCAGATCAAGAATTTGGGCAGGTGCGTCTGATTAGAAACTCCCTTCATCCAGTGTGAAAACGTTGGACTGAAAGCAGCATGATATAAAAAGAGGTTTTTCTCTGTCAGGGAGACGTCAGCTCTAAAAATAAAAATAAAAATAAAAAGCAAGGGATGTGAAAAATTCTTTGTTAGTTTTTGTGGGCCAAGTGGTGTCCCTTCCAAAACCTAAAAACCTTAAATTGAAGGCCTAACCTCCAGTACCTCAGGGACTGTCTGTATTTAAAGATAGGGGCCATTAAAGTGGTGGTTCAGGTTAAATGGAGTTGTTAGGGTGGGACTTCACCCAGTATGACTGGTGTCCTAACAAAAGAAATGAGACACAGATGCACACTAAGGAACGCCAGCGAGAAGGCCGCCGTCTGTGAGCCAAGGAGACAGTCCTCAGAAGACACCAATCCTGCTGACACCTTGATCTTGAACTTTCAGTCTTCAGAATTATGAGAAGACATATTTCTGCTGTTGTTTAAACCACCTAGGCTGCGGTATTTTGCTATGGCAGCCCTCGCAAGCTAATACAGTAGTCCTATGCAGCTTATCTGCAGGATCAACACACTGTTTTAAGCTTTAGCCCCCTGTATGCATCTGCATATAAGCGGTACATTTGTCCATATAAATATGCATAGATGGATGTCTAAATGGGTACTGTTCTAACTGTTCATATTGTGTACCTCTTTGTGGTGGGATTATGGATGAGGTTTTAAAATTCTTTGTACTTTTCTGTTGTGTTTGAATTTTAAAAATGATTTGTATGTCTTATTTGTGGAAAGACAAAAAAAAATCAACTTTTAAAAGAAAAAAAAACAAGGATCTCTTTTCAATAGTAATTATTCTGGCTTAAGTGGCCCCTTTTCTCCTCTGGGACAGATCTGAAATATTAAACAAGCAGAAAACCTCCAGCCCAGAAGAGCAGACACTAAACCAACTCCGATATGACCCAACATTTCTTGCTGCCTGGGCATTTTTAGAAAAAGCCTTATTTGTTTTGTGGTATTAGTTATCAAAGTGCTTTTTTATCAGGAAATCTGCTTTTTTTCCTATTTTTTTACATAGATAATATGAAAAACCTCAGAAATTCTCCTTTTAAACTCAGAATGCACAAATAAGACTAGAACCCCATGTAAATGAACTCCTTGCTGGTGTATAAAATTAATGAAAGGTGCTGCATTTAAGGATAGAGATCAATCATAAGCCTTATTTCCACAAGAAAAAGCTTGGCCTTTTAAAAGCAACACTTCGGGGTTCGGGCACGGTGGCTCACATCTGTAATCCCAGCACTTTGGGAGGCTGAGGTGGGTGGATCACAAGGTCAGGAGATCAAGACCATCCTGGCCAACATGGTGAAACTCAGTCTCTACTAAAATTACAAAATTAGCCAGACATAATGGCACGCGCCTGTAATCCCAGCTACTTGGGAGGCTGAGGCAGGAGAATTGCTTGAACCCAAGAGGAGGAGGTCGTGGTGAGTAGAGATCACGCCCTTGCACTCTAGCCTGGGCAACGAGAGCGAAACTCTGTCTAAAATTAATAATAATAAAAAAATAAATAATAAATAAAAGCAACACTTGGAGTTGATTAAATGTTATTATTAATTAGATTTTTTCTTCTGCAATGAAAAAAAAATGATTAAAATCTTTGAGGGCTGTGAGAAAGACTGAAGATTATTTGACTCAGACTTTCCTCCATGCAAAACACCCCCCACCCTAACTCAACTTTGTAGGAGAGAAAACAGAACACGACAGGTGAGGTGACACCTCCACCGTGACATAGCACCTTAGACACAAACAACTGCAGCCAAGGCTTGGTGCAGTAGGAAACATCACCAAGCAGAATTCCAAAGGCCTCAGTTTAATAGTGAGGTGGTCCCATCACAAGGAGATTCTCAACCTTGGCTACACATTCAAATCACCTGGGGGAGAGTTTTAAAAGTACACGCTCCTGGGCTACTCTGTTGGAGACATAGATGAAATGGTGTGGTGGGGGGCCTGGGCATCAGCGTTTTTAAAGCTCCTTGTAGGTGATTCTTGCGCATCACCAGGGTCAAGTGCCTCCTGATGAACCACTCATCTCTGCTCTGCAACAGACAGCCTCAAACCCACCCACAAACACATGCTGAGACTCTGATGTGGTTGCAGCAGTTGTGAAAGTTCTAAGTGCCTCTCGCATACTTTCTGTAGATGAGTAAAGGAAAGGGTGTTACCTGTAGGGGTCTTTCACCTGTCACCCTCGGAAGAAGCTGATGAGAAAGGCACACAGGGCCTGGAAGGGTTTCCAACAGTGTTCCCAGGGCTGCTTCTTTGCTTCCTCATTCCCTCCAGGCCTGGGTACAGCCTGGGTAGCTTTGGCTGTGAGTTGGGTGATGGGTTTGGCTTTTCCAAGCTCTTCCATCGAGTCCTTTCCCAGCTGTCTTGCTTCTGTGGGTTTCACTGAGGCCTTGGGACTCAGAGATGGCATCCCAGCCTCAGGGTGCTGGTTGGGTACTGGGCTGCTCTTGAGGCTGGAAGCCACCTGCTGCATGTGGGCCTGGGGCCCAGCCTTCCTGCACACGGATGGCCTCAGCACCGGGGCCCCCTGGCACGCATGGTGAAGGCGCCTCAGCTCCTGCAGGGCTTGGTTCCAGTAAGGTTTGGGGTCAGTAGCGAAAGCCTGGCACATGCTGGGCTGCCCCCTGTACTCACACCAGTATGTCTGATCTGTGTTGTGGCAGTCTATGCGAAGCCAGACTTCCCCGGCACCTTGCCCCAAGCTGCTGGGGCGCATAGTGCAGGAATCTCTCCCTCCAGTTTGGAAATGGAATTCCTCCCCAGTGATTCCTTGCTTTTGCCTTGGGGCCTGACCCAAAGTCCCCAGGCAGGACAAGGTCACCAGCAGGAGGCAAGGGATGAACTTCATGGCGATGTTCTAATTAACCCACCAGCAACACTGCACCAGGAGAGAGAACTCAAGTGGGACGAATCACCCTTTAAAGGATGCTGCACAAAAGACTCTTTCTCTGCAAGGGTGGGAGGGTGTTTTGCAGCGAATGTGAACCATGACCACAGACCTTGGAAACATAACACTTGGCAAGGGCAGAGCAGCCACCAGGGGCTGCCTACCACGAGCAAAGGGTATGGTTTTCCTGAGAGCATCAGAGAGCTCTGCCCCAGCTCTGTCACACACAAAAGCACTACACACAGCTTTGGGGTTGAGGGTTTTACAGTTTTTTTATTTGCAACCATGGGCAGCTTGCTCTAAAATTGGCCCTTGTATGGGAACAGCCTTCTTTGTCAACATTTGGTATATGCCAAGGTGTGGCAATGGAGTTCTGGAAAGAGGTTTGCAGTTCGGAGTCTGGGCTGCCTCGAGGCTCCCTCCTGCTCCCCATCTTGGGGAACCATGGGTTTAGTTAATCCAAAGGATGCCAGAGTTTTGTGAGCCTAGGTCTTGTGAGATGGTCTAGCAAATGTAAAAAATACTCTGTGAGGTTTAAAAAAAAGGAATTGTGTGAGGGTGTGTGTGCTAAAGGAATACAGAAACGCTCCCCCTCCCACCCACTGAGCTGAGACCAAGAAGGCATGCAAATATGTGTTCACACTGGGATTCAGTCTATTTTAGACCATGAATTCTATTTCAAATTCAATTGAAATAACAGTTTTAATTATAGCACAGAAAAATATGACTTTAAATATTATCATTATTGTGCTAAAATAGGAAAAAAAGCAAAATGAATTGAAAATAACTTCTGGTTCTGTGTCAAGAATCATATTTTGCTATGGTCATAGTGTCTTTTGGTGACCCTTCCAGAGGGCACTGTGGAGTGGAGGAAAGGTGGCAATTTGTTGTTAGGAATAGGATTGACAGACATTGGGGGACTAGTTTGAATGTGAGGGATTTATCTTGGCGATCCAACCCTCAAGACAAATCAGTCAACTTGTCAGGTTAAGAAGGGATAAAGGACAATGTGTGTGTGTGTGTGTGTGTGTGTGTGTGTGTGTGTGTGTGTGTGTTTGAGATGGGGTCTCACTCTGTCATTCTGTCACCTAGACTGAGTTGCAGTGATGTGATCATAGCTCACTGTAGCCTCCCACTCCTCGGCTCAATCATACCTCTTGCCTCAGCCTCTCAAGTAACTGGGACTACAGGCATGAGATACTAACTACATCCAGCTAATTCTTAAATTTTGTTTTTAGGGACAGGGTCTCATTATATTGTCTAGGCCGATCTCAAACTCCTGGTCTCAAGCTATCCTCCTGCTTCCTTGTCCTCTGGAGTTGCTGGAATTACAAATGTGAACCACAACAACCAGCTAAGGTAGGTTCTTTTTTTTTTTTTTCCTGGAGACAATTTCATTTTGCCACCAAGGCTAGAGTGTAGTGGCAAGATCTCAGCTCACTGCAACCTCCGCCTCACAGGTTCAAGTGATTCTCCTGCCTCAGCCTCCTGAGTAGCTGAGACTACAGTTGCATGCCACCATGTCCAGCTAATTTTTGTGTTTTTAGTAGAGACAGGGTTTCATCATGTTGGCCAGGATGGTCTCAATCTTCTGACCTCGTGATTCACCCTCCTCGGCCTCCAAAGTGCTGGGATTACAGGAGTGAGCTGCCGTGCCCGGTCAGGCTGATTTTTTTTTTAGGAAAGATAAGTACTTTAGGACCATATCCTTTCACTGTGTGTTTGGTGATTTGAGATACTGAAAAATAAATAGGTAAAAGTTGCAAGAGTGACACTAGTAGTACTAAGTTGGCTTGAATAACATGAATTATTTAAATGGGTGATGGTAAAATCAGGTTTTAAAAAAATGGGAAGAGATAATTTCCTCCAAAAGAATTATACACTATATAGTCTTGTTTAAATTTCAAGCTTCTTGTGTGTAGTTTTAAAAAAATTCATTTTTACTTATGTATGTTTAGGAGTACATCAGGCAAAGTAGACTTTGCCTAGAATTGGTATTCAATTGTGTATATTGTGATCTGGACAGTTCCCTAAGAAATGATGACTTTAGATCTGAGAAAGGGAGTATCTAAAAAAAAAAAAATAAGCCCACTTTGACCTTGATGTTGAATTACTTCTGTATAATGGGCCCTTTAATAATAAGAAAATAATGGAATACATTCATAAATAACATATGCCCAAATTTCAGCATCTAAGTTGTGAGTCTCTGGATCTATTCAAGGAGGCAACATACAGATCATGTTTTCCAAGATCGCTTTTATTGAAATAAATCAGAACTGCAATCTGCACATGAAGAGACCTGGGGAAAGCCTACATCCGGAATTTCATTATATCAATGGTAAATGTTGTCTGATCGGTTTTTATTGTTGATGATTTTTGATAATGACAAATCCCACATGAAAATCCTAAAGCAAATGGATATGTACCTTGTGCTTTCATGTATATTTAGGGAACAAACACAAAGGATTCATCCATGCTGGACACCAAATCTAAGAATTGCGACCGGATCTTCTCATATTTCATTTTAGAACCCTTGCCACTAGTCAGGTGATATTCATGGTAGCTGCATTCCATTTAATGTTTACCCTAATACAACAGAAGACTCTGTTAAAGTGTACACTGTAATTGGCATCTGTTAAAACAACTCCACTTTTGAACGAACAGCATTTCTTTCTCTCAAGATCTTTCTATTCTGAATTTGCCAGATGGAGTTACACAGGTTTCTCTGTGATTGCTTTTGCATGCCATTTCCAAATGGAACACGATCAATCATTGATAAATAACAGATGAAAATCTCTGAACAAAGAATATGCTGTAGGTTTCACACACTCTTAGTGAAAATGGATTATTTTCAACAGCACCAAGAAGTCAATGGTGACTTATTTAGCTCATTTAGAAGAAAATCCTACAATACTCATTTGTTTAAAAAACTCTGTGGTAACAAAAGGTATATACACCATTTACTGTACACAAAATGCATCTTTCCTGTAAACCGGTGTGTGTTTAGCCCACTCCATACATGGCAGTGTGTTAGAACTTAGCCATCACATTTGAACAGCGTTTTGACAGAGATGCATCCAATGGGAACAAATACCCCATATGTTGTAGTGTCTAAATAGAAACTTGGTGTAAAAAAGTAAAAAACAAAAATAGGGTGGGAGGGAGTCATCCTTGGAGAGTGACGGACCATGGACTGTAAGTATGATTGTGTTCATTCTTAAAGCACTACCCAGAGACCAATGGCGCCATTTTCTTGGTGCCTGCCTGAGTCACTATGTCACCACTGGCGTTCCTCCTGGATTTGGAAAGTCCTTGTAGGCCCAGAAACTACCAAAAATCGGTGATCCTTCCCACTTTGAGTATCCTGATGCTGAAATGAAAGTTAAACAAAATTTTAGAAATTGTTTTTGAATTAATAAAACCAGGAATGCATAATCCTAAAATTGTCCCCACCAGGAGCCTAAAACTTTTGAAAATATAAATTCTTTCACGAGGCACAGAAATATGTTTGTTGTAAAACAATTTGTTAAAATATAGAAATATACAAAAAAATGGTGATTTTTGTTTGTTTGGTTTTTGATTTTGTTTGTTTGTTTTTTCAGATGTCTCGCCGTGTCACCCAGGCTGGAGTGCAGTGGCACAATCTCAGTTCACTGTAACCTCTGCCTCTTGGTTTCAAGTGATTCTCCTTCCTCAACCTTCCAAGTATCTGGGATTACAGGTGCATGCCACCATACCCCACTAATTTTTGTATTTTTTAATAGAGATGGGTTTTTGCCATGTTGGCCAGGCTGGTCTCGAACACCCAACCTCAAATGATCCGCCCACCTCGGCTTAACAAAGGGCTGTGATTTCAGCCGTAAGCCACCATGCCTGACCAGAAAAAAAAACTTTTTAAAAAGTCTATAATACTCAAGGTACATGGTTGCTATACAGATTTCAAGATTTTTGTTGGTTTGTTTTTTAAGAGATAGGGTCTTACTGTGGTATCCAAGCTGGAGTGCATGAGTGTGTTGCAATTCACAGGTATAGTCATGGTTCACTGCATCCTTGAACTCCTGGGCTCAAGCAATCCTCCTACCACAGCCTCCCACCTCAGTCGCTGGGACTACAGGCAGGCACCACCATGCCTGGCTTACTTTTTTACTCTAAACAATCCTTTTTTTTTTTTTTTTTTGAGACGGAGCCTTGCTCTGTTGCCCAGACTGGAATGCAGTGGTGCAATCCTGGCTCACTGCAACCTCTGCCTCCCAGGTTCAAGCAATTCTCCTGCCTCAGTCTCCTGAGTAGCTGGGATTACAGGTGCCTGCCACCACAACCAGTTAACTTTTTTTAGTAGAGACAAGGTTTCACCATGTTGGCCAGGCTGGTTTCAAACTCCTGACCTCAAGTGATCTGCCTGTCTTGTACTCCCAAAGTGCTGGGATTACAGGTGTGAGCCACCATGCCAGGCCTTATGTTTTTATTCTTAAAAAAAAAACAACTTATTTTTACACTATACACACACATGCTCATTGCGTGTGTGTGTGTATATATATATAAATACACACACATTTATATAGCAATGTATGTATATACAGAGAGAGTGATTGTATAGTATATATACACACAGTCGCCCCTCAGGATCCATGTAGGATTGGTTCCAGGACCCCCACGCACATCCTCCTACATACTGTATATCATCTCTAGATTACTCATAATACCTAATACAATGTAGGTGCTATGTAAGTAGTTGTTAGGTTATATTGTTTTTCTAATTTTTATTTTTCTACTGTTATTTAAAAAATTTTTTTAGAATATTTTTGATCCATAGTTGGTTGAATCTGTGGATGTAGAACCTGCAGGTACAGAGGGTAGACTGGATATATAAAATCATCATGTCCAATATACTGATCTAGATTTCTCACTTAATGTATTAGGAATAGCTATGCTTTGATGTTCTAAAAACTAAAAACTATAGTCCTATAGATTCTCTTCAGTGGAAGCATGAAACTTACCTCAAGCAATTTCAACATCAGCTATCAGTGTTGTGATGGGCTGAAAACAAAAAGGTAAAGAAATGTAACACCTCCAGTAAAGCTGTGGGTGGTTTCATCCCCTCTGTGCTAAGAAGCAGGCATGTGACTAAGGGTACAGATGAATGTAAACCACACCCCTTAAAGTTTATCAGGAAGAATGTGTCAAACAAAACATTGATTACTCTAGCTTCTGTTTGCATTGCCTTTAAAAAGAGGGTAAAAGATAAAGAGGATAGAGGGACAGACTATGACAAGTGGAATTGTGAATATTCACAATCTAAGGTTAAAAGTGTTAAGAGTCACTATGAATATGTGTTGAAGACATTAGACCAGCAGCAACGCAGCAGTGCACACCAGTCTACCACAAGAGTCTTCTTAAAGTCTGCTTCTAGGACAGAAGACAGAAGCAAATGGAAGTTCTGCAGGGACCTTATTACAACTACAAATTCCCGGGTGTGAGACCAGACAGTACAAATGTCCTCGAAGTGGCTCTCTGGGTGAACCTTCAGCAGAAGCCCTAGGGTCATCTAAAGTGATTCTGTGATAATGGCCTTGACAACCAAAAAGGTATACACTAGGGGGTGACTAGTGAGCTCCACCTGGAAGGTCTGCAGTTTCAACTCTTTCACCACCCTCCCCGAATGTGACTTTGGGAGGATCACAACCCCTCTGAACCTGCAGGATCACCCCTCCCACTGCAGTGCTGCGTCAGACACATGAGGCTGGGGGAGGATGTGCACACAGGACATCAGGGCACCTGCCAGGTAAGACATTCCTTGTAAAGTGTTTCACTTTAGAAACTGCATATGCTTGGTTCTGTGTGCTTCTTCTTGAACTACTCTTTATGCTTTCTGTAAAGAAACACATTCTTTATTGAAAGGGCTCAAAGGGCCCCAGGAAAAGGGTACAGGCAGGGGCTGGCTCGGTCTCTTGTTACTGTCCACATCATCAGGACCTGGAGCTGAACATTATGAAGGACTGTAGGCTCTGGCGATCATTTCTAATGAACACCTACATTTGCCTTACTGAGCAGAGGGATGCTGGGCACACTAACAAGATCACTGGTTCTTCTCCTCCTGCCTAGCAGTGCTTCTCCTCCAGACAGTATATCCGTCCTATTCTGGAAGAGAAGGAACTCTGGAGACCTCAGAAGCAGGAAATGAGCAAAACAAACCAATTTAAGCAGTGTCTTAGTCTGTTTTCTGCTACTATAGCAGAATACCAGAGATGGGTAACTTACAAAGAAAAAAATGTTTTTCACATTTCTGAAGGCCATGAAGTCCAAGAGCCTGGTGCTGGCATCTGGCGAGGGCTTTCATGCTGCATCACCCCATAGTGAAAGGGCAAATGAGAGCAAGAGACAGAAAGGGAATGGAGTAGAACTTCCTCTTTTTATCAAGAGCCCACTCCCGTGAAAATGGCATTAATCCATTTATGAAAGCAAAGCTCTCATGACATAGTCACCTGTCCAAGGTCTCACCTGTTAAAATAGTCACAATGGCAATTAAACCTCAACATGAGTTTTGGAGGGGACAATGAAACTGTAACAAGTAACTAAAGCTAATCCTGGAAGCTCCTGATGTGAGAGGAACAATGGGCCTTAGATGAGACCATAACTGGAGGACACATTTCTTCAGGCCATTAGGATTTTGGCTCTGAATGATGACTTCCTGGTGCCCAACACAATAAAGTAATAAAAGAAAGAAGGTCAATACATGACATCCACGACTCTCCTCTCCCCAGAGCGGGCACTACACACTGATGACAGCACTTTTCAGTCAGTCTGGATTAAACCTGCAGATTTCAATTGCCACAGGGCTCTGGGCAACCTGACCAACAGAGAAAAGGTGGCCCAGGAGGTAGAATCTGTTTGCCACTGATGCACTGTCCCCTTCACAGAAAAAGGCATATCGTGGCCCCTGAAGAACCTGAAACAACACAAAGGAAGGGGCTCCAAGCACTCTCTACAAGACCTATGCAGCCAGAACCTACACAGCTGAGGGTCAGCTGT